GTATGCTAATTTTTAGATAAGCTGTTGTGACTTAAAAATATTTAAAATATTGTCATTCTAATCACAAACAAAAGTATTTTTTTACAAAGCGGAGCAAAGTGCGCCTCTCTGCATAGATATAGTTTCTCTAAACTAAAATATATCATTAAGTTTTTTTTTTTGCGAAATAACATTGCAAAAATTAATTACATTAATTAAAATATACTTCGAAAAAAGATCTTAAACAAAAATAAACTATGTCAAAATTCTTACCACAAGCAGTTAAGTAAGTTTGCGAAATTAATATAAGAGTTAAGACATAGAGGAAAGTTAATATGTTTTGCCGCCAAACGAAAAACAAATTTTTTTTTCTTCAGGTACATCGTTACAAACACATCATCATAAAAGAGCGTAGTTTCCCCTTATTACGGAAAAGAATGAGTAGAAATGGGGCTGGCAGGAAAGACAGACAGCATTGTAAAAAAAAAATTGATGTGACGAGATTTGATTCAAGGTCAAGTATTTGTGTGACATTTTTTATACAAATACTTTTATCTACATTTCTTGAAAAAAACAACAAAAATATTGTGAAATAATTTCAGAAATTTCACCAGTTGTTCTAAAACATCCTCCGTTTCAAAAGTTCAATGTTGAAGGAGTTTTAATTTTTATTTTTCCTGTTGTCTGTTTAACTCATTAACTCCCAGATTTCTCATATGAAAAATGCTCTCGTTAGAAAAAAAGTTATACGTTTACATTTAAGTTAAGCGAGTATTTACTTTTGTTATTTACAACTTTAATTGTACTATTTTATTTCAACTGTAGTTGAACAGCTGACCCGATTTTGGGCTTACGACTACTATTTTTACTTCTACTACTATTTTGTCTTCGTGGAGGACTTTTTGATGGAACTAACCCGCATTTGCGTTACATGGAAAGGAAAACCACTAAAACCTCCCATGGATAGCGTAATGGCAAGGGAACTCTAACCCATGATCCGTCTACCATTGAGGATATTTTACGTCAGCACTAAGGTCGGTGTGAGCCGGGTGCGGAATTCGTATCAACCAACCACCGCTAGGATTCGAACCCGGGTAGCCTAATTGGAAGGCGAACACTCAATCCCTTAGAGCACCACGGCTCTTTAGTTGTATTATATCATATCCTAGTCGAATTAGATTCAATAAGCTTCCCAGGGTTAGACATATTTAAATTTAGTCAGTTAGCTATGTTATAGTAAGCGCAAATGCTGTTCTTGCAACTATAATGATATCATGTTACTACCACTATTTATAGTTTTATAAAAAAAATTTTATTAGACTTGGATATAATCTCAACGAATTTTCTCTTTCTGAATGGAATTAAAATTTTTTACTAAATGAAGAAAAATATGTAAAAACGTACATTTTATGTCGGCTGATAAAGTTAATAGTTAAGATTGCAATTGTAAGGTCTGTTTTGTTTTATATAACATATTTCAACACATTTTAATGTGTTGTTATATATAGTTAATGTATTTCTACATATAAACGAAATTCTCTGCAACTCAAAATTTATATAAATAGCGTACGTAAGACATGTTTAATTTAAAGAATAAATCCCTAACTGTAAAATATGGGGTGTACGAGGCGCATCCAGAAAGTAAGTTTCCCTAATTTATATATAAAAAAAAAGAACTCACACTTTCAGGAATATATTTATCGTCAACAAGTACAGCAATGTTTCAGCTATTTTTCAACATAGCCACCACCAGAATTGAGACACTTGTCGTATCGTGGCATAAACTTTTCTATGCCTCTGTTATAGAACTCTGCCGACTGTGAATGGAACCCGCGTGTGACAGACGTCTTCAGCTCTTCGTCGTTGCCAAAACGTTCACCGGAAGACAGGAATTTCTAGAGGTGCAAGAAAACGTGAAAATCGCTGAGAGCAATATCAGGGCTGTAGGATGGATGATCAAACAACTCCCAGCCAAATTCCGTCGAAACAGCTGTTATGCGTCGTGCCGTATGTGGACGAAAATTGTCATGGATGAGCGCGACACATGCAGTAAGCATTCCACGACTCTTGTTTTGCATGGCAGTCACATTTTCCGCAGTGTTTTACAGTAACGGTAGACGTCTGTCACACGCTGGTTCCATTCACAGGCGGCAGAGTTCTACGACAGAGGGATACAAAAGTTGATCCCACGATGCGACAAGTGGCTCATTTCTGGTGGTGGCTATGTTAAAAAATAGCTGGAACATTGCTGTACTTGTTGCCAATAGATATGCTCCTGAAAATGTGAGTTCTTTTTTTATATATATAAATTAGGGAAACTTACTTTCTGGATGCGCCTCGTATACAGAGCAATTCTAATTTCCTTTAGCAGTTATGATGCAAGCTTCGAAGGCAAAAATATATACTTAAAGTAAAACGAATCAACACTCTAACCAATAAATAAAAAACAATTACCACTGGCATCATAACATCTACAGAACAAGTTAACAAAACAATATCAACTTCTTGACTTACTTTTCTGATGATCGGAAGGATCTAATGATGATGATATAAAATGATCTGATTATAATGGTTCGTGGGACGTTTTGTAAATGCTAACTAATTAGTGCGAGGACGCCGCTCATTGACGCCTATACTATAAAGGCGTAAAAAAGTGTAATTGCATAACAGATTTTTCCTAATTTCAACATTACAAAATTATCAATTTTAAAACTTTAACTTTTGTTTCCGAAAACAGAATAATTAATTAAAAAATGGAACATTTTTAAGGTTCTTTGTTTTAAAAATTCATAATTTTTTTTTCGAAGTTTATAAATTTTATTGGTGAAAAAATTCTTTAAATTTAAACATTTCTAATCTAGAAAAAGGATGAAAACAAAATGTTTTATATTCCATTCAAAAATTAAATAATACTAGCTTGGTCACCATTCAAAATTATCTTATACAACGTATAAACTTTAATGGTTATCCAGCCGAATGAATAGACTCAATAAGTTATGCTCATTAAGTTGCTCTTACGCTCATTAAATTGTACCATCATGCTGTTTTGATTATTTTCTTAACTGTAAACTATGTCTGCTGTATTGTTTTATACCCCCTCTCATTCTTCTCCTCAAAAAATAAAATTTGAAAGAAATTTGGTTTTCAACATTAAAATTACTATGTAGGGCTATAATTAAAAAAGTAAATTATTTTNAGCATTGCATGGAGGAGCGCAACACCTACAGTAAGCATTCCACGACTCTCGTTTTGTATGGCACGTTACATTTTCCGCAGTGTTTCACAGTAACGGTAGACGTCTGTCACACGCTGGTTCCATTCACAGGCGGCAGAGTTCTACGACAGAGGGATACAAAAGTTGATCCCACGATGCGACAAGTGTCTCAATTCTGGTGGTGGCTATGTTTAAAAATAGCTGGAAACATTGCTGTACTTGTTGCCAATAAATATGTTCCTGAAAATGTGAGTTCTTTTTTTTATATACATAAATTAGGGAAACTTTCTTTCTGGATGCGCCTCGTATACAGAGCAATTCTAATTTCTTTTAACAGTTATGATGCAAACTTCGAAGGCAAAAATATATACTTAAAGTAAAACGAATCAACACGCTAACAATAAATAAAAAACAATTACCACTCGGATCATAATATCTACAGAACAAGTTAACAAAACAATATCAATAACTCCTTGACTTACTTTTCTGATGATCGGAAGGATCTAATGATGATGATAAAAAATGATCTGATTTTAATGGTTCGTGGGACGTTTTGTAAATGCTAACTAATTAGTGCGAGGACGCTCATTGACGCCCATACTATAAAGGCATTAAAAAATTGCATAACAGATTTTTCCTAATTTCAACATTACAAAATTAGCAATTTTAAAACTTTAACTTTTGTTTCCGAAAACAGCTTATTAATTATAAAAATGGGAAATTTTTAAGGTTCTTTGTTTTAAAAATTCATAAAAATTTTTTTTCGAAGTTCATAAATTTTATTGGTGAAAAAATTCTTTAAATTTAAACATTTCTAATCTAGAAAAAGGATGAAAACAAAATGTTTTATATTCCATTCAAAAATTAAATAATACTAGCTTGGTCACCATTCAAAATTATCTTATACAACGTATAAACTTTAATGGTTATCCAGCCGAATGAATAGACTCAATAAGTTATGCTCATTAAGTTGCTCTTACGCTCATTAAATTGTACCATCATGCTGTTTTGATTATTTTCTTAATTGTAAACTATGTCTGCTGTATTGTTTTATACCCCCTCTCATTCTTCTCCTCAAAAAATAAAATTTGAAAGAAATTTGGTTTTCAACATTAAAATTACTATGTAGGGCTATAATTAAACAGGTAAATTATTTTTTTAGATATTTCATTGTGAAATATAGAGCATTAGATATTTACTAAACCTAATACAGAAGTATTACAAAAACTAATACATAAAAAAAAATATATCCCTATCATACAACACGTAGCTAAGCCTAACCATAAACCCAGCTCAGAAAAAAAAAAATTCAGATCATATAAAATTTTGCATTTTATTCTTAAATTTTTATGTAGATCTGTTGTTTTGATATTCCTCTACCAGTTTTAACTAAAATTTATTGTTTTTGACATTTTTTAATAATATTAAAAGAAAGTTCTTCAACAGCTTAAACTAACATTCTTCAAAAGTTGATCATAAACAGAAAGTAATCATAAATTTTTTTATCTGTTTATAAAACTGAAATAAAAATGCTTTCTCTAATCCCAGTAAATCTCTCTAAAATTATTAAATAAGTTATCTCAACTTAAAAGGAGAAATAAGATGTTTTTTTAAGATAGATGTTTATATAACAATCACTCTAGCCCACCTGACCCTATATGCTATTGCTTGAAAAAGGCAAAATATATATAGTATATGTATTAAATATCTTAAATCAAAACGATTTTTATAATTAAAAAATTAACTTAATTTTTTTAAACTACAATTTATTAAGGATTTGAAATGAATTTGAACAAATGCAACTTACCTTTAGAAATATAGCACACTCTCTTTCTTCAAACCCACTTGCAAATTTTTTGAAATCTTTTCGAACAAATACTAATAATTATCCAATTCATTCTAAGCACATCATTGTTTTTTATTTGTCTGTTTTTTTTAAAGAAAAACTTATCAAAACATTGTATACAAATTCATCTCGAACTTTCTTTAAATTTTTCGAAGAACGATTTAATTAAAAACTAAATAAACAACTAAAAATTTATATCCCTAGAATAAAATATTTTTTTGTTTTAATGAAAAAAAAATCTTTAAATTATCGTCTGCAATAAAGTTACGTTTTGCGTTCTTAAAGTCATAAAATAATTTAAGGAACAAACGCGCGCAAACCGAGTCGCGAAACTTAAATTATTTTCTTTCGTTCGCGGGCCTCACACTGAAACCAGTCGGACTTTTTTTTCACAGCTTTCTTATTTTATTTATTTAGTTAGTTTCTTAGTTTTTTTATAAGAGGAAATTCCAGATACAGCACAGGTGCAATTTTCATCATGACCCCTCCTATAAAAACTAGGATCTTCTGTTTAATGACCAAAAAAGATAATCTTTCATCACAAGTTGCAATCGATTTCATTAAGAGCGTTTGTAATATAATAAAGAAAAAACTAAGTCGTATTATAGTGTTCTGTTATTTTGTGACGTTTCCATATGTAGGACGTGAAAATATGTAGGACGTGCGTAAGTAAATGAAATAACGAGAAATAAGGATGAATTTAGAACAAAGCCGGTTCATGAAGTAAACTTTATCTTCAGTTTTTTTTTTTTTTTTATACTCCTTCTGCATTCTAATTATAAATTCATCTCTGAATTTAAGAAATAAAAAGAGATTACATAAACTACTGGTTAATAATTCATCAGATACAATGGGAATTTGTGAATATAATACAGAAATTCAATAATTTAAAAACAATAAAACTGTTTTATTCTTCTCATTTTGTTGAAATAAACGTCATTGCAATGTTGCTCATTTTTGGAAAACACAAAATAATAGCAATATGAACATTGTATTTTTAGATCCCTTTTTTTAGATCATTATTTTTATTATTAATTTATGTCTCCGTTATTTTAATTATCACGATTTATTTACAGCTGTACTTATGTGTTTTTCGTGAACATTTCAAATAATGATAGATATGATGGAAAAGTTCATAAAAACGGTAAAAATTTAACGTTTTAAGTTAAATATTCTTTTTAAATATATAAATAAAACAAGAGCAAATATTTTATGAAGTCAAATCTGTTTAATAATTCATTATTTTTACCACATACTACCATTTATTTTTAAAAAGTCTAAGTAGTGAATACGAAGGATCTGTGATTCCTTTTCATTCCAGATTTTGTCATTCTCAACAGCCCTCTTCCGGGGCGTAGGAACAAATCGAAAACCCGGCGCATTACGGGAAAACCTTTTTTATCGAATTAAGAATCAAATTCTGACAAATTGTAAGGCCGGGATAGCCTGATTGGTATGGCACTGGGCCCATGTCCAACAGTTCATGGGTGCGATTCCCGGCCACAGAAGACTTCCCTAGTTGTAAAATAGTGACTGATGCACGTTAAATATGGCGAGTCGAAAAGTCCTCCATGTTCCCATAACAAATCAATACCACTGGGAGTACTGATCCAGAAGTTTCCTTGTCTTCTGGATTAGTTTAAAATTACAAGGTTACTGAGTTGAACATTAGTTGTCGTTAACCCAAAATTAGATCTGCTGTTCAAGGATGGATTAAAAAAAAAGAAAAAAGAAAGACCAAACAATGTATCATTCGTTTTTAACTCAACACTTAATTTAGAAAAGCCTAGAAAACTCCATAGTCCAAATATATCTTAAGTAAATAATGAAAAGGTGGACGATAAATAAGAATAAAATAAATAAATCTCAACTAACTATAACAAATAATAACTAATTTTAAATTTTCTGAGGCGGTATCCAAAGTGTAAACAGCCATTAAGAAAGAATTATAATATAAGCGATATTGAAATTTGAAAATCCAGTGAAAAAAAATTTCGAACTAAATTCTAACATTATAAATTGCTGTGAGATGAATTAACTAAACGTTTTCATTCAGAGATAATTAAAAAAATTATTTTACGTGAGATAGGAATTTTGTGTGGATGCAGTTGTTATTATTGCAGTAGCAATTACGCAACCATCTGCCTTCGGAATAATTATTGTATGTCTGAAAATAAATTTTGTAATGAGATGTTCTTCATAGCTTAATAGTAAGCAGGACCTCCCGGACTTCTGTTTTGGCCCCTATAACATGTCATACTTGTCTAAGATCGAACTAAAAAACTTTACATACATGAAATAAAGCATTTTTAATTTATGCAATAATTTTAACAAACTTAAACACATTTTTATTTCCTCAAAAACTCAATGCGCATGAAATAAAACATTTTAAAACTATGCTTAATTTTTAAAAAAATTGAGATGCTAACCAATTTCAATCCTCCAATAATCCAATAAATTTTTTAAACCAAGAAGCTAAATAAAATAATTAAATTTAAGAAAAAACATAAGGGTTTAACAAATAAAAAAATTCAAAGGGTATGAATTATTTCGGCAAACTATTAAAGTCAGTTATTAAAACTTCTTTCAATGCACGTCAGACGTAACCAGTTTAAAAGTTGCTGTCCCTTAGTGCTGTGTAATTTTCTAAACTCTTTCAATTATTATTTTATTTAATTAATTACGTATACTAAACAACTAGAGTTGGTGGTGGTCAATCATAGAGACATTATGACTTAAAGAGTTTGAGTACCTAAAAACTTCATTTAAAGGTAGAAAAAATAGATTCTGGTTGACATTTTAAGTTTTCTTGGTGATAAACTATTCAAATTATTGGTGTTTACATGATAACCAATCACTATTTGTTGGAAAAAAATTTACGCTTTTTATACGAGAACATATTTATTTTAAAAATATACAATGCAATGTTGCTTATTCTCATTTTCTTTAATGCAATTTATGAATGTAAGATTCACAAGGGTCCTCAGAGTGCTTGAAGCCTCCGGGCACTACCCGGATGTGCCCATGTATTAAGACGGTACTGCTGCTAAGTCTTTTTAATCATTGCCAGTTGTTGCACTTCTGCCGCTTTATGGTATTCGAAATAAAACGGTATAAAACATAATATGTTTGATAAACAGCCATAGTGCTTCAAGCGGTAATAGTACTTCCGCTATATGAAAAAATAGAGAACAAAATGTTCGTCAAATTAATGAATTGAATACACATTGGTCTGGATATTTCGAAATAATATGATCTTATCTTCCCGAAGTATCCAACGTGCTACCAAAAATATTCAACTATAAGTAAACTAATCATCAAAACTGGAAAATTTCCTAATTTTGCAACCATTTTGATTTAAATAATTGTCTTCGCGTACATATCAGATTTATCTTTACAAAATAAGTTTCCAAATTATTGTGTGAATAAAAAAGATTTTAGGATTTTTTTTCAAACGAAAAATTTATTTTATGATATAAATTTTGCTACTATTTCAAAAACAATTAACAGACTTTTGGAATAGTGCTATTTGTATCAATACAAATTTTTGTCTGAATAACAGTGATTTTGAGTCATTTCGACACCAATAAGCGCATTTCTAATAATCTGAACTTAGCCAACTCAAATATATAATTAAAAATTTGCTTTAATTAAATTGTTAATTTTGATGGAAACCGAGATACTTTAAAAAATAGGTGTTATTTAGAAAACAAAAACTTCTCAAATTGCTTATTTGCGTAATACCCAGTTCATAGAGATTTTGTAAGGATTTGAATAGCCCGATTACTACATGCTCTAGTCAAATTGTCCCTAAAAATCTAGAATGGTTACATAAATTAGTGCAGTTCTAATTTTTGGATATGTTGTATTGGTATGTTCAGTGATTAAAAATTTACGTTTTCCAATACTTCGTTAACACCGCGTGAGTCGCTATCTTTAAAAAAAAAATATTTAAAAGAAGAAAAAAAGAAGAAGAAAAAGCACTAAATTTCTGCCCTTTTTTCCGTTTGCTGTAAATTTCTCCGAAATTATTGGTGTTTCCAAAAATATGCAAATTGCTGTCTTTTTACTAAATAAAAATATCTACAATTAAAATTTGAGACCAGTACAAAGCAGTATAATAGTATTTATGAAGTTTCGTACCTTCTTAGTTTCTTTGGGATGATGTTACTGTAATGCTATTTTGAAGAACGCATGCTTTAGTCACCTATTAAGTAAGACAAATATTTCCTATTAATAATAAATGAATGGTATGAAATAAGCTCAATATAAATCGAGAAAAATATATTTTTATACGCTTATATAATTGCCAATTACACCTTTATAAACGCAATGAGTGAGCAGAGAATATCAATTAAATTTCCACATGCTATACAAAATCTTTCTTTCAAAAGTAATAATAATTCACCGTCTCTATCCTCTATAATATGCATACAAAGTTATGAGCGTCCATGTGCACTCTAGGACTGCAAAATAATTTATTTCACTTTGACTTGACTAAATTCAATTTAGAGTCAGTGCATAGATAAGAAGAAGAAGAAAAAGAAACTGTGATGATAAAAAAAAAAAAAACATTTATAAATATTCAAGACGTAATTTCGAATGAAGTTGTAAAAAGTGAACTATAGCAATTTCAGTAAAATGCAGTGAAAATTGTGCAACTTTACAGAACATGGGCTTATCAGAAAGTGGTCAGTACAATGCTTTTATTATACAATGATTATACAATTCTTAGAAGAGAGAACGAGAAACTGATTCCTTTATCTTGCAACTGTGTAAAAACTCAACCATTGTTTTTCAGGAAGCTGAACATTCTTTTATGCAAACTTTTCACATTTGTGCCTGAAACATAGGTTGACATTGCAAACAGGATAGGTGCAGTCACACGTCCACAGGGTAAAGATTTTTTTTGGGGTGGAGGGGTCAAATGTTCTAATGAGGTCTGATCTAGTATTTGTATTGATTAGACAATTGAGAAAGCCTTGACCATCAAATTTCAAGATGCATGTGACATAAAACTTTTCAAAACAATAAGGGAAGACTTTTCTTTCGACGGAGATAGTATATATATATANCCAATCAGAAAATTCCATTTCGATTTTCGCTGATACCGCTGGAACGGTTTGTGGCAGAATGTTCTATTGTGAATCTAAACCATTCTCGAATCCTTCTGAAGGTACACAGAAAATTTCATTTAAATCAGTCCAGCCGTTTAGGAGGAGTTCAGTGACATACACACGAACAGACGAAATATATATATAAAGATATACAGAGATGATGGATATGATTCATAGCTCGATTCATTTTAGGTGATTCATTTTCAACTAATTTGAAAAGGTCGAGTGTTTCGTTCTTGGAAAAATATCAATAGAAATTAAGTAAAAACT